GGTTTCTCGTTTGTTTTCTTCATACTTTCATTAAGAATAGTGGTCGTTTAAATCACAAAATTTTTTTGCTTAGAACTTCAAAAAATGGTTTAAATAGATATTTTACAACTACTTAAGTTTTATAAAAATAAAAGTATATAACTACTGACAGCTCAACGTGTGTCTTCTAAGTTGACATTGTTAAGCTTATATTTATAGTACATTATTTACAGAAGCATTGTATGAATAGTAGGTAATATTAAATAAACTATTTTCTCCAAAAAATTATGAGATAGGATGCTATTAAATTTATCATAGAAGCTTCAATTATTGTTGGAGAATATTTCACATATTAGATAGCTAAGACGAGGTTATCTGAATCGCTGGTTACGGCTGACAAGAATTAAATCAAGTATAGATATTGTGGTTTTCCAACGTGTAATAATTTTATCGGTAGTAGATGTGCATTGCTCTGAATAATAAAACAGTCTTAGTAATGGTATTTCTTTATAGGATGTTCTTTGGAACCAATCGCTGCATATTGAGCTCAGTGCTGATACCTGCAAATATTTAAATGTAATTGTGCGAGCACGACCATTAACTATTAAAACAACAGATGTCACTGTTTTACAAGATAGCCATGTTGAAAAGGATGGTTCTCAAATGCTGGGATATGTTCGTTTTTAAATAGGATTGAAAATTATCATCAGAATCTTGGAGAATTTTCAGTTACAAATGTATAGGTGCGTTTAATTGCAGACAAGTATTTACATACCGCAGGTGCTGGACGACTGTCAGCTCACTCTGTCCAATTGTCACCAAGAACTGTTCACTTTGCGACCGCCATTTTGGACTGCAGCAAGGTGATTTCGAATAATATTTCGCTTGAATTCAGTTGTGACAGTAATAAATAACTAGATTTTGGGAAAAGCTGTTGGAGATGATAAATTTATGTCCTGAATTTTTTTTAAGGCGGCCATTAACACGAAAAGCTGCTGAAGAGAGTCGTCGAGCTGGTTTTGATGAGCGCCTTTGTTATGGAGACATTATCTTAAGATTTCGTTATTTCCCTTCAGGCCTTCCAGCGGATGTTCAGAACAGATCGAAGTACTTTTTAATTGTTTTTGATTCTTCGCAAGATTTATATCTTATCTAGTAGAAAGCCACAGATATTTAAGAGAGGAATTATGAAAATTTCTTCAGTTTCATAACTAATGAATGTTCAAACACTTTTAGTGTGGAAAGCGCTGGATGTGTAAAAGATGTCACACAAATTAACAGAAAGAACACTTTTGGAACATCATCGGAAACCAAACATAATTTCGAAACAATATTGCTGAGGGGTTCGTCTGTCATAAGTTGCTTTGCAAAAGCAAAGTTTCCTTTGTGCCTCACCTTCGCTTATTTTTTGCAGGTACAACTATTTGTGCAGTTTGTCAGGGAAAAGTGTGGTTAAAAATGGCTTCACATTGTACAGGCTGTTTGCTAGTATGTCATAACAAATGTTTACCTAAGGTTGAGACTTCTTGTTCTCGGCATCCTCCCATCGACGACTCAACATATGAGGTTAGCGTTTTATCAGGACATAGGTCTAATCGATTCAGAATACGTGGTAATTTTATAGCTGTTAAAGAAATATCATTAAATAGATGCTATTGTGTATAGCATAGCATTACTGCTATCTCTAGGACACAGGTCGAACTTAATGTCAGGAAACCCGAAATCTAATTTTTTTTCAATACATCTCTGCATAGTAAATTTCCTATATTCAATTTTGGATACAAATTCTATTCTGATTTGTTTACGCAACCAAAGATAAAGGGTCAACTAAGCAAATAGGAAACGGTTTGATCAAAAATAGAGGTCAGCTGTCGTAGTAATGACAAGGAATAATTGGATAAAAAGAAAATATATAAGAAAACCGTAGTTCACATTAAGGAGGAGTAATTAATTCATTTATTTATTCGGACTTATCAGTGGCATTAACATCGACTAGCAATCCACTGAGTAAAAAGAGATCAGCGAGGAAATAAATCAAGCAGTTATTTAGGAAAAGAGAGAATCATAAACAAATGAATTAGCCAAGTAGACTGGGGAAGTTTAAAACTAGACTACAAATACAATCTCTAGATAATAATGTTTACTTTGCATACTATACTTTCTTAATGCATTTTTTTACATTCTATTCATTATTTTCGGTTTTGGACGGATTGCATATAAATTCAAATGATAGATCCAATTTGCTGAACGATATTGTGAAGGCCGGTCAGATGACAACAGAACTCAGTTTGCCTTCATCAAGTTATTTTTTCTTGTATTGTACTTTTTCTCTTTTTTGCAAAAATACTAATTTAGGGGTGATTACTTTGGTTTTGGTTAACCCCTCAAAGTTTCTCTTAGCCAGGAAACATAATTTTAGGTTCTACAAATTACTATCAGATATCATTGTTTGTTGGCATTTTGTTTTATATCATCTTTTAGTGTACTTCGATTAACAAGGAAATAGTACTGTAGTTTTCTACGTTAGTCGTTACAAATGAAGTCGTTACAAAATAGAATTAATGGTAATCTCAAGTGTTTGAAAATATAAATTCATGTAAGAAATGAGTATATCTGCTTGCGATTCTATTAATTAACGAATATCCCAAATTCACCTAAGCTAATATCCGAATTAACTCATACTGACCCATAATTTAAAAATTTTTAATACATTCTTTTACAAAAAATATTTGTTTGATAGAGCCTGAGGAGCGAGTACTATCTCGGCGACGTCGTATTGCAGTTAAAGTATCTGAAAGGCTTAGTTCTACATGGAAAAGTGTCGGACGTAAGAGAGAATCTTTCCATCAATTAAAGGAAAAGAAAGGAACGATTGGTTAGTAATTATACTTAATATCGAGGAATAATATTTTTGTTTTTTTATTTGAAACTACAAATTTCAGAGCAGGAAGCCCCAATAATTCAGATCAGGACCGATGACGTGATACCAGTTGAGGTGAGTTTTAAGCAAACTGTGAACGTGAAATCAGCATATCTCTATAATAGCTGTTCTGGGAATCTGACATAGTGATTGAGCGAGTTCCAAGCCAGCTTACAATTCCAAAAAATATGAAATTCTTAAGATATTATTCAACTTGATAGTTATATTCAGAAAGCAATACCGGACGTCTTTTCAATGTTGAAACTTTCGGAAAATTTAAATCAGATGATGTACCAGCCAGGAAATGCATATAATGAACAAATGATAAATGCTGCCAAGGTAGCTGGTAAAGATATGTTCTCTGATCTGGATCCTATCAAAAGGAAAGCGAAAATAAATGAAGATGCAAGTTCTTTCTGACAGTCACACTCTGTAACTACTTTAAAAGTTATTTTTGTAAAATATTTTGGACGATGTGCATTGTTTATAGATTGCACATCATTTTTGGCAATATTGATTTAATTACTTCAATATATTCATAATAATCATTAAGTTATGCATAGCTGCTGGGTTAATATTATTTCATTAAATAGTATGATTGGTTTATTTGTGTTACAAATCATAATTTAACTTATAGATGGAAAAAATTCGAAATATTATCCACCAGACAACTGTTGAACGCTTGAATGTAATGAAAAATATGAAAGATGCTCAAAACCCTGGTTCTCTCAATTTTGCAATATTGGAGGATAGGCTGCAAGCTCTTGCTGTTCTCATGCTACATTACTGTGCAGCTTTACGGGTATTCTTCTATACCTTTTAGTTTTGTGTGTAATTCTTCAGTGTTATATGTTTTTCATTTCCAAGAACGGAATTTCAGAATTGTGTTGATCTAGAAGAAAACTGTAAGTGTCAGTATCAAAACGAAAATTTAGCCGATGCTGAACAAGATAGTCCAATCACCAATGCCTTTTCCAGAGCTGAGGAATCAGGAGGCATTTCCGGCGAATTCTAAATTATTTCCTAAATATTTTGTCCATTCAGAGCTCTTTTAGCTTTTTCGATGAGAATCGAAAAGGAATCAAAAAGTTTACAGATGGCATTCGTAAAGGAAATTTTTGTTTCCAACAAGTAATATCTTGTCAAATAGATGTAAATTGTAAATTGCTCTTTTTTAAACATTGATTTTTGCCCTATAGCACATTTGAGCTTTCCGGATCCGTTTTTTAAACAAGCCACTATTAGAGTATTTTTTCATTCGCATATATTTGCTTCTTCACAAAATATGGGTTATTTCAGACCACATATTATTGCTATATTTTTCGTGAACATTTAAAATCACAAATAACAATTCTAAGACCTTTGATAGATCTCTATAATTACGTGTACGGATAATTTTGCTATGTTGCTATATTGTAATCTTGTTAATACTAATTTTGCATAGCCAGACTTTGGGTTGATTTATAAAGTGCAACTTGTAAATTTGCACATGCATGATTCAAAAGTGCATGGGTAGAGCACTGCGAAACAAAATAATCCAGAAATCGATTTTTTGAACTTCTTGTAACGTAATAGGGAAAATTGTGGTCCATATAACTTTTTATTTTCATTGAAAAATGAGATAAAAAACTGTAGATGGTTATGAGGAACACAAATTTAGAAACTGCCATGATATTTTCTTTAATTCTTTTAAGGTTTTCTCAATTGTGCGTGCTCCATTATTTTTATTTTAATTACTTTCCTTTTTTTTTATTTTTTTATTACTTTCCTTTTTTAATCTCATTTTTTTTATACGAGAAATGTTTTTCTACGATATGGTTCATTTTTGGACAACCTTCTTCAATTTAGTTTTCGCGATGAATTTTAATGTTATCTTCTTTTGCTGTACCTCATGCTTAAATGTTTGTTATTCAAATGCGCAAATGCGATAAAATCTGTTCCTCATAATTTTCGAAAAGATAATAAAGGAAGCAAATTTTAATATATATATGTTTTATTGCAACCCCGGCTCTGCTCAAACGAGACTTGTTCGACGCTGGTGGAATTTCTGACGTTTACTGATTTTAATATTTTAATATGCACACCAAAGCTTTTATGAAATATGTGTGCAATGGCTTGTTTCTGGGCTTTCTGTTACTACACTCGATTTTATTGCACTCATTCATGTAATCTCCAGAATCAATTTTAGGAAAATGTCGGAAGCTCGGGTTATATGTCTTATACTTTTGGTGTATTTTTTTCTAAATGGAAAGTTATTCTGAAGATTAATTAGAAATATTGAAATACAAATGAATCATGTAATGGCAATTGTAAGATAACTCTCAAGTCGAAGGTCGGTTTGAATAGAAACGGTTTAAATTGGGAAATTTCTAAATGAGATTATGGCTTCTAAAATTTGTTGAATATACAAATACGTTTCGACTCTTGATATCATTTACATTAGTTACAAGGAGCAGTTATTCGCTATTGTTATAGTATTATCTTTTATTGAAAGATGCGATGTCTTTCAATTGTTTCCACTGACAATATTTTAGCCACCCACTTACACACGAAGTGCCAATCGAAAGCAATTGCAATTAGTTTGTATTCCTTCCTTCTCTGTTTCTCTTTTCCTCTCAACAATCTAATTCATTTTAAATTTAATTATTTGTGGTGCATTCAAGTGTTAACCGGTGTTATGAGCCTATAGATGAATGAGTGATTCACTAGCAAAAGCTTATTCTTCAGTGACGTATATGGAAATATCATGCTATTAGACGGTCGCCAATAGTGCTGCATCTTTCATTGTTTGAAATATTCGTTCTTGTTCAACTCTCTCACTAAAGATGGTATGCTGTGTATCACAAATCGACATGGTAACAACGGAGCCACATAACCATTATCATTCAATTTTGTCAATGCATTTACGTATCATTCTAGCAAACATTTTGTTGTCTATATTATGATAGGCATGCATTACGTTTATACTTTTATATTTCAGGAAATTCTGGTAGCAGTTTTGTTCCCCATTGTCTTATTATATATTTGAGTGTAAGTGTGAACTCTAAATGTTTTATCGCTTACCGATATGCTCATTAACTTCGTAGAACAATTTAGAGCGCTTTTTGCTTAACTTTCCTGAAATTTACTTTCCAGAATTACTTTGGAATTAAGAAAACTTGCTATATATTTGGTAATCTTATACTAGAACCTAGCTAAGTGGCTGAAAATGATTTTCGAAGAATTTCCTGCAGTATTTGCGGACTCATTAATTACTGTAGCAGTGACTTAGGGCCTTTTCTATCATAATATTTCTTTTATTCCGATTAATAAAAACAAGCAGTGTCGGAAACCGAAATATGATCCAAATACATCTCAGATTTCGTAACCTCACATTGACCTTTTGATTGTAGTAAATCAAGCGCCATAAATCTTATGAACTCAAACTCATCATGTCGGTCCTATCCTTTGATCTAGTTTATTAGTTATCTGTTCGTTAAGTCAGGTCACACAATCTCATAAACGCATTGTTTGTCTTTGGTCCAACCTCTAAACTCAATATAAAAGGATCGAGTTACCAATCCAGTCAAGTTTTAGTTTTAGTTATTGTCAAGTTCTGGTTTTGTGGTCACCAA